ATACATGCAGGGCAGCAGAGATCACAAAACACTGAGCAAAGCCATCATTGCAGGTTATAGGCAGAAGCCAGTTCTCTCAACAAAATAAACTGGCTTTTTGTCAATAATAAAAGGAAGGGAAAAGACAAAAGTATCTTGCAGGGGTGGAAGTTTTTTGTCACCAAAACTGGGTGTTGCATTGTAGGGTGTACACTCTCAGTTTTGTCAAAAAAGGCAGTTTTTGGTGACAGAATATGGCAGTGGAGACAAGGCCTATGAATATGACGACTAAGAGCTGCTGCACTAGTCTGGGTAAACAGGACTAGTGCTGTCAACCTGCAGAGTGAGGTGGTCGAGTTACTGTCTCTGTGAGAACCCAAACTTTGCATTTCTTGTCATTTTTGTATGTGGCAAACCATGCTCTAGATCAGGGCTACTCAACTTTGGAAGCCCCGGGGCCACAATGATACTCACAGCACATGCCAAGGGCTGCAACTTAAGTGTGGTTGCATATATATGCAAATATATATGCAAATGTATGCAAATAGCTTCTTTCACACTGACAGACTTGAATACAAAGCACTCCCCACAATGCCCCAGTGCTCCCAGCACCTCCACCCTGGGGGCTAGAAATGCCGACATCCTGACTAACTGTTCCAGCCAGTCCACTCACATGCATCTTTCAATGCTCACCCCACCTGGGAGATGCTTCACTGTTGTGGAGCCATGTTCAAAAGATCCCACCTGCAGGCTGTGTGTATAGCCCTGCATAAACCCAAACCGCACCGCAGGCCACAAACAAACAGGCCGTGGACTGCATGCGGCCGCATGTTGAGTAGCCCTGCTGTAAACGCCTTCATACAGGGGACATCTATCTCTGCCTTGCTATCTGTCTTAGCTTTTCCTCCTCTCCCAGTGCTGCTTCCTGTATTTGCTAGACATAATTAAACAGAGAAAGAACGATCTCTTTTAGGGCAAGAATGACAGCAAAGCATGTTATCAAGGGACAACACCTTCACAGGCCTCTTGGCAGAGGGACTCAAATGAGATATTAAGAAAGTGACAATTAAAAATAGCAGACTTTCTAAGAAAAAAAATATAAACATATAATAGCAGATTTACCTGGCATTGATTTGAACCTTAACTCAATTACATATTTTTTTTAAATAAAATGAAAATGCACATGCTTTCTTTAAGTGATTGTATTTTTCTAAAAATACGTTATTTTTATGAAGTTAATTTTTATTTTGGATTTCTTAAGGAATTTTCCATTAAGTTTTTTAGTACATTTTTTAAAATGGGAATTCCATCAAGTGTATTTTCTTCATCCCTATAAATGCTTATCATTCACTATGTTTTAACAAAAAAGGGCTTCAGTCAATTTGGCTTCCAATAATAATTTCTTCTAGTTTTTAAACCTTAAGCATTGATTTAGCTGTGCTAGAACAGAGCACTACTCCAAATGTCTCTGTTGTAACTCTTTTAGCATTCTCTCAGGTATGTCAGTTTCGAGGACTGTACTTGATTTGGTGATGTTCTCTTTTCTGTTAGGTTTTATAAGAAGCAATCCCATTCCAGGCACAATCCCATTTTTCTAGAACAGCTAAACCCTTATGCTGCTTTAAATTATATTAAGAGGGATTTTCGGTCTGTATGTTTGTGATCCTAGCTCTTACCGTTTAGGAGTTACTGAACAGACAGACAGATATATACTCTATTCTATATTTGAGATAGTTTGTCTGTATGGGTATGTCTAAACTACATGGCTCCGTCATTGGAGCCATGTAGATTAGGCTGATTGGCAGAGGGAAATGAAGCCGTGATTTAAATAATCGCGGCTTCATTTAAATTTAAATGGCTGCCGCGCTCTGCCGATCAGCTGATGATCAGCTGTTTGTCGGCAGATCAGGGCAGTCTGGATGCACCGCTGTCGACAAGGAAGCCTTTGTCAACTGGCGCAGGTATGCCTCGTGAAACGAGGTTTACCTGTGCCGGTCGATAAAGGCTTCCTTGTCGACAGCGGCACGTCCAGATTGGCCCGATCTGCCGACAAACAGCTGATCATCAGCTGATCGGCAGAGCGCGGCAGCCATTTAAATTTAAATGAAGCCGCGATTATTTAAATCACGGCTTCATTTCCCTCTGCCAATCAGCCTAATCTACATGGCTCCAATGACGGAGCCATGTAGTTTAGACATACCCATACAGACAAACTATCTCAAATATAGAATAGAGTATATATAGTTATTCTCATTTGGTGAGAGAGTGAACCACTGAACAAAACTTGAGATTATCTATCTATCTATCTATCTATCTATCTATCTATCTATCTATCTATCTATCTACAGACATAGACACAGGTACAAACTGTGGCCAATCAAAATAAGCAAAATGCAGGACAATGTAGCACTTTAAAGACTAACAAGATGGTTTATTAGGTGATGAGCTTTCGTGGGCCAGACCCACTTCCTCAGATCAAATAGTGGAAGAAAATAGTCACAACCATATATACCAAAGGATACAATTAAAAAAAATGAACACATATGAAAAGGACAAATCACATTGCAGAACAGGAGGGGAATGCAGGGGGGCGGGGAAGGAAGGAAGGTAAGTGTCTGTGAATTGATGATGATAGAGGTGGGGAGAGTGGGATGTTTGTGAGTTAATGGTATTAGAGGTGATAATTGGGGAAGCTATCTTGGTAATGGGTAAGATAGTTCGAGTGTTTGTTCATTCCTTTTTGGAGAGTGTCGAATTTTAACATGAATGACAGTTCAGAGGATTCCCTTTCAAGTGCAGATGTAAAAGGTCTTTGTAGCAGAATGCAGGTGGTTAAGCCATTGAGAGAGTGTCCTTTCTGGTTAAAATGGCAAGAAACTGTTTTTTCTTTGTGATCTTGTCTGATCTCTGTTTTGTGGGCATTAATCCTTTGGCGAAGTGTCTGAGATGTTTGTCCAATGTACATAGCAGACGGACACTTTCGGCACAGGATAGCATAGATTATATTTCTGGAGGCGCAGGAATATGTGTTCTTGATCTTATAACTCACTTGGTTAGGTCCAATAATGGTATCAGCAGAATGAATATGTGGACAAAGCTGGCAACGGGGTTTGTTCAATCAAAATAAGGTACTTTTGGAACATATATCAAGCACAATTAAATAATCAAACTTGATCTTTCTGGACCAGCTCTATCTTGGTTAATAAGGTGGGATTTAATTTTTATTCTGTGCTTGTCCACCTGCTGGTTAAAGCAAGGTGACAGTGGCAAGGACGGCACCAGTTCCTCATCTTTGCTAATAAAAAGGCTGGTTGATCATTTAGGGCACTAAGCTACATTTTGAAAAAGCTTGTTGAATGGTCAGCTCGGCTACATGCTCTCTTTGTGACTGTGAGCAGGTCATTTGATCATTGGTTTCCTTGTGCCTCAGTCCTCCCAGCTGTACAATGGGGATAACAGCACTGCCTGGTCCCAGTGGAGCCATCTGTTAAAGGCTGTGAGGCTCCCAGCTTTTGCGGCGCTGGGGCCATATAAAGATCAGAGATGGGGAGAGACGTTTTCTGTTCAGCGGAACCAGGCTACGGCGAACATTTATCACCTACCTGAGCTGCAGGGAGCACATTGCTACAGCGTGGAGCGCACTTGCTTCTCAGGCACGACAGCAGGCTCCATGCTGAGGCCGTATGGCACTGGCAATCCGCAGCATGCTCGGTCTCCTGGCAGCATAGCTTGGCAATGGCTTTCCTGTAACATCGCAGGGATGCCAAGGCCAGAGCAGGCTGGTATTTATAGCTCCTCCAATGATGGACCCATTGGGGAACCTCAGCCAACGGGGAGAATTTGCAGCTCTGTCCCTTTCCACACAGCAACAAGCTTCTAAAATCCCCCACTGAGTAGTAACTCTCCATAGGCCTGGCCAGTCTCCGAGCTGCACTCTGTGTGCAAACACACAGAACGGCCTGGCTCCCAGGATGGAGTAAATTAGTGGAGCGCCATTGAAAACACTGGAGTTACACCAGTTTACAACAGTTGAGGATAGCTGGCTAGCTAGCTAGGCTAATATGGTGGGGGGG